AAGGCAAATGGACCTTGTGCACAGATGGCCTCTGAGTCACTGGGAAAGGATTCCTTTCAGAGAGATGGAATCATGAGTGCCAGAATTCTTCCTTCCTTCCTTCCCAGGAAGGGAGTAGGGGACACAGGAAAGTGGTGCTCTATGTCCTCTTCACCTGTTAATCATCAAAAGGGGAGATATGGGTTTGTCTGGAAAATAACTTTCATATAATTAAAACAGACCATAATGGGGCTGGGGATGTGGCTCAAGCAGTAGCGCGCTCGCTTGGCATGCGTGCGGCCCGGGTTCAATCCTCAGCACCATATACCAACAAAGATGTTGTGTCCGCGGAAAACTAAAATATAAATATTTAGAAAAAAAAAACAGACCATAAAGGTCAATATGTCAAAGAATCTTGTCCATTCATTACAGATGTGTTACCTTATTAAAAAAAGATTAATTTTTAAAAATTTAAAGTAAATTTATTTTTAACTGATACATAAAACACAAAAATTATACATATTAATGARATACCATGTGATATTTGATACACTCTGTGTAATATTTAATTCAGGTTAAACTTACCTATATCCTCAAACATTTATCATTTCTTTAGGATGAAAATTTACAAAAGCCTTTCTTGTAGCTTTTTGAAATGTCATCATGCACCTGTGCACTAGCATCCCAGAACTTCTTTCTTCTGCCTCACTGTAGCTTAGTACCCACTGATCAATATTTCCTCCTTCCTCCCTGTCCCCACCTCCAAGGCTTCTAACTTCCACCATCTACTCTCAACTTGGATGAGATCAACTTCTGTAGGGAGAGAAAGACAAGTACTGTGTGATCTCACTCATATGTGGAATCTAATTTAGAAAAGATTAATTGAACAAACTTTCAGTAGTAAGTTTAGTTTCCTCTAAGGAAAGAGTAAACTACCACCAGAGCAGTGCTGAGAAAGACTTTACATTATTGTATTGTACAGTCCATTAAGATGAAAGGGAAATAATTATTTCAGTGATGACTGATGAATTACTTCAACTTATTTGTAAACATGAAAGCTGCATCAACAAAGCAGAATTCCTGAAAATGGAGCAAAGAAAAACAGCAAATTCCCATTTTTGTTGAAAGTCTCAGTATTCAGGTGTTTTCCCTCTTGTCTATTCAAGTCCTTGATTCTTTATGACCATTTCCACATGTACTTACCAGCTGACAGTAACGTTATACAAATAAGTGAGCAAAAACTATGCAAAAGCCTTGTGAGATAAATATCATTTGTTTCTGCTGTGTATTTGACTAATTTTCATTCATGAAGATAAACTTTATGTAACATCCAACTCACAAATACCATAACTAAATATAAATATATTAATAGCGTGTTTAAGCAAGGACTCTGACTCAGGAATTATTTATGAAATGTGATTGTCTTCTTTAAAAATCTCTCTGGAGAAAAAAAAAACAACAGTGTTTTGTTACCTCTTAATTGCTGGAGGTAATGTTTCACTAAATTCTAACTGAAACTTATTACTTTATGGATGGGATGCCTTTCATTACTGAACTATGGTAACATTTTGAGGGGACTGAAACTAAAGACCCCATTTTAACATAAAAAGAGAGACTGTGATAGTTCTGCATAATTAGTTAATTATGTTTCAAATGAAACATATATTGCTTCATGTTATTTCTATGTTATTCCTCACTATCAAACTGGAAAAGCACAGTTTGAAATAAGAAACTGGCTCTGAGATAAATTCCATTTTTTTGAAGGTTGAATTTCTCCATTTTATTTCTAATTTCGGCCATAGTGAAGAACATTTAGAACGAAATCTTTGCACTTAATCAGACAATGAGTACCTGAGGAAGCACAGGGTTTTTTCTGTTTATGAATTATCCTCAAACTTATAAAATGATGGTAATGTCAGATCTGAGGCTGTGCACAACTGTTTTTCATTATCTGCCAATATGTATGTGTATGATTAGAAAAGTCAGCAATGGCTTTTCGCTTTACTCTAATGTTGGTAATTTTTATATGTGAATGTTTAATTCCTATAAATAGAACAAATGGAAGGAAGCAAGTTGTCAGTGGAGACAACATTCCCAATTCAGTTAAGCACCTTAGATTGCTAAAACCTTACATTCATTTACCTTCATGTATTGTAGGAAGAGTTAATATTTATCTGTGGTGAAATGTATTTCATCATCCTTATGTGAAAAGAGCAGAAGCATTTCAACACATCGATTATGGCTATGTTTCTAAGGATCGGTTTGCTTGTCTCATTGGGCTGCTCTCCAGACAGACAGCCTTCTCCCTGCACTATTCAGTAAAGGGAGTTCACARCATCCAAAGTGCGTTAGGAAATTGCTTGCTAATTGGAAAGGGGAGGGAAGAGTTTTTACATTAGAGAATTGGTGGAAACCACCTAATGCATTCAAATTGGCATCACTAATGGTGGTGCAACCCAGCATCTGTGGTTCTTGATGTAATCTCATACAAAGGGCACAGCATTATCTGTGAATTTGTTTTTTCGTTTTTGTTTTTACACCAAGAATGTTAAAGTCTAATGAGGACCTTCAGCATGACTTTTAGTTTTTAGAAAGTGCGAGGATGTACAAACAAGTTAAATGACTACAGGGAAGCAACTGGGTAAATAGACTTATGATACTGTGAATGTTCCATACGAAAACTGACCTGGTCACTGAAAACCATTTGTTCTATTTTAAAGCAAATGAAATCCTTGGGAAACTGAGAAGGAAAATATTTGGAAGGCTGTTCAAGATTAAAAGAAATTAAAGAGACATAATAGCCTAATTAAATCATATTAGTTATCTAATGCARTATGACAGGAACACTAAAATACAGTGAATTTAAAACAACAAACGTTTGTCATCTCAGTTTCTGAGGTGAGAAATCAGGACTCAGCCTGGCAAGATGCCACTGGGGTAAAGGTCTCTCTTGAGGTTGCAGTCAAGCTATTGTCCACGCTGGAGTCTCTCTGAAGGCTCAGCTGAGGGAAAGGGTGGGAGGATGTATTTCCAAGCTCATTCATGTGTGTGTTGGCATGCCTCAGCTCCTTGCCAAGGGAGCTTTTCCCCGGGGCTGCATCACAACAGGGCAGCTGGCTTCTCTCAGGGCACGTGATCAAAGACAGAGCAGAGAATGCCCAAGATGAAACCCATAGTCTTTTTATAGCTGAGTCTCAAAAGAGACATCCTGTCTCTTCCACTGAATTCTAATTCTTAGAAATGATTAAGTCCAGCTCAAATTCAAGCTTGGAGTGTAGCAGTGTTACACAAAGTTAAGAGACCTAGAGGCAGGAATCTAGGGGAGCTGTCTTACAGACTGACTACCAAAACAAAACAGAACAAAAACCTGGTTGGGTTTTAGTTTCAAGATAAAATCTATACAAGATATTTAAGAGGCAATTAGGAAAACCTGAATGTGAATTTGACACTAAATACTTTTAGGAAATTGCTAATACTCAGATCTCAATAATCCTGCATTTATTTAACAGAATATATTATTTAAAAGACACAAACTCGGGCTGGGGTTGTGACTCAGCAGTAGAGTACTCGCTTAGCAGGTGCAAGGCCCTGGGTTCAATCCTCAGCACGACATAAAAAAATAAAATAAAATAGAGGTATTGTGTCCAACTACAACTAAAAAATAAATATTTTTTTTAAAAGACACAAACTTGGATATTTTGGTACAAAAAACTATTATCCTAGTTTTATTTCCTATAACGTATTTCCTTAACACAAACACACACACATGTACATACAAATAAATAGATGGAAAAGTAGATGAAGTGATAACAATGATTAAATCTAGGTAGTGGCTAGTGGATATRTATTGTCCTATTCTTTGAGTTTTTTTAGTCTGTTTGGAATTTTTTCTTAATAAAATCATGAACAAAATGGTTGTCCCAACTAGGCCAGGAAAGCAGGTTGCACAGAACTACACAAGCTTCTCAAACCTGAAATGACTATTCAAGATGTCTGCAAATATCTTGGAGTGTTTATGAGCTCACTTCTCCTAGGTGCACCCCCATTGCTGTCGAACCTATTATAGCCCTTCATACCCATGTTCACACAGTGAGCACTTGGGGAAAAGGGAAAATGATTTTCTGTGAGTCTCAGAGTGGTGATGTTCACTGCAGTGGATTTGATAAGTTCTGTACCCAGTTATGCTTTTCTACTCTTTTTAGTTTTGCTTCAGGATTTTTTTTTATCAACTTTTATCCTGGAGCTCTCACATCTCATTTACCTCAATCTGTCTTTATCTCTCAATGTTTAAGACTATGTTCAAACACTCTCAGTAAGTCCTCTCTGCCTTCAGTGTGATTTGCATCTATTGGTCAGCTGTGTCTTTACTAGAGCCACTTACAAACCATTTAACAGTTTTCAGGTTTGAGTATTGGTGCTTTTTTTTTTTTTTTAAGTCATATAATGCCCTGTGAATTTTATCTCAGACTGTTGGAGCCCATACACCAGTATTTGGAAACATGGCTTCTTCCTCCTGGTTCTCTTGCAGGGAATTGTGATATCCACAGCATTGTCATTTATTGAGCTGTTTTAAAATTGTTCTTTAAAAGCTGCTTATAATAATGTTCAACACTTTCCATTGTGAAATCCTATCCCCAGGAATAATTACTTAATCTGTGTTAAATTTTTCTGCCTTTGTTTTCTGAACAATTCCATTATCTAACCTTTGTTACATCTAAAATTCTTATTGACTGAGGTTTTTATAGTATTAATGTATGCTCTCCCAATGGTTGGTAAAATAAAGATTATTGATTGATTGAAATTAGGGAAGACTGATATGTGGCAATTCCTTCTGTTCTTAAGAATATTTGAGAGGAATAGTTTTTAATTCACATATATATTCAACTGAATCCAGGCTTCTTTCATAATCTAATCCTAAACATTTCAAATATGCCACTCAATATTTTTGTCTGACAACAAAATCACCATAAGTTCCCAGTAGAAAATGAACAAAATGCAGGAAAACATAAAGGGTAAAAATGATTCAAGGTGATTTCCTCTCCAAGGGTCAAATGAGAGCCTCTCTCAGGAAAGTAGGAACTTGGAGGAAAATCTGGCATGCCTAAGGTCTTTGGGGAAACTGAAGACATGTAACTTCTTTTGCCTTTCTTTGGCTGCTTACATATATTAAAAAATACATAAATAAAGGATAAAAGAAAATAAAAGCCATTTGCTAACACCAGGAAAATCATTGGTAACATTTTTTATCTATTTTAAATTGTTCTCCCTTCACTTACCAAGAGAAAGTAAATGAGATAAGGAGGACTTTTTGCAAATAAGAGGAAAACAAAAGAAGAAGACATAAAGAAAACAAAGAATAAAAGAAGCCTGGGAGCTGGAAAACCAATCCAAAGCTTCTGGTGGGCTCTTTACGTTTTCCCAAGACTCAAGTTACTCCTGTTTATTGCTATGCCATCCCTAGAGCTCCCTAAATTCCTACTGCCTCAGTCTCACAGTCTAGATGGCTAAGCTGGTTTTGCCTTTATCTCTGTTTTCTAGAAAGGGAATTGAATGCAATGGTGTAGGCATCCTTGTTCTTAAAAGAGACTTTCTGAAAAGTCCATATTTCTTTCATATACTTTTGTCAGAAATGAGTCAAGAGTGGCTGGGTACAAAGTGGGAATCTTAGAAAGAGAGGGAGAATACAAGAATAAATGAGAAGATATATTCCATTTTTGTTAACAGGAATTATCTCTARATGTTGAGATAATGGGTGCCTTAGTTTTCTGTTTAGGGTGTATGTGTGCATTTGTAATTTGTAAATTTTCTATAATAAGCTTACATAACTTTTAAACAAGAGTTAACCTCTGTAAAATAGCTGAATGTATTTGGCATTTTACATTGTTCTAAATAATTTAACTATCCCTTTAAAAAAAATCTGTGTAAAAATCATACTGAAGTTTTAGTTTGAAGAAAGGAAATTTATCTTCCATAAAGACCAAAAAATTTTCCACTACCACAAAGTTTACGTGTAATAGAAACTGTCAAGCATTTACAAAGCTCTTGTTTTAAATTTTTGTTTATTACACAGAGCCATAGTTTGTCTTTCCAATGAGTAGAACTGGTGTTTATTAAACACTTCCATGTTCCAGGCAAATACAGCATCTACCTAAGATTCCCAGTCTACCTAATCATCTAAACCAAGAATCAGCAAACATTTTTGGTAGAGTCACATAGTGAATATTTTAAGTTTTTTGGAGTCAAGATGCACAAATCAAGAATATTATTTAAGTACTTATATAACCAAAATGAAAATAATTACCTCCCCTGAACCCCCAAACCTTTATAAGATGCACAAACCATTCTTAGCTCACGGGCAGTGCAAAATCAGATGCTAGTTTGCAGAACTCTGATGTAAACAATCCAGAGCAGTATCCAGACAGTGATTTGCTCATTTTGCAGATGAGCAAATATGACTTTAGAATGCTTGTCCATGCTCACAAGTAAACAGCATGGCCAGGATTATATTTGTGTTTATCTAATTTTAAAACCTATATGCCTTTTCCATTTGCCCATGTCATGGAACAAAAAGCACTATAAAGAAATATGGGTTTCTAATAGAAAACAAAACAGAACAAATAAACAAAACAAACACYTTCTGAAAGGAAGAGTTTTTCTAGGCCCTGCCAGGAAGGTTCATGTGGTCTGAAATCAGACACTCACCTGACTCTGTAATATACTTTAAAGGGAGTTAAGGGCCTCTTTAGGAAACCATGAATAAGCTCTTCAAAGAATGAGGCTATGTCTAGTTATAGGATTTATTTCATTTCAAGTAAAACTGGTCCTGCCCTTTGGTTTTAGTAAAAGCTGAAATCTTTGTGTTCAAAGGGAAAAGAAGGAAAGATAATCAATGTTTTAACTTTATTTGAAAATAGAGATTTTGCAGGGTTATAAACAGCATTTCCATTCTCTGTTCTATTTAAATGATGTTGTGATTGTTTCTTTAAAGAAAAGACTCAGCCGGCTTGGGTTGTCATCCAGGGGATAAACATTGAATGCAATGCATTAGTCATGAATGGCAAGGAGGGAGCTTGCTGAGCCTTGTGCTCTGAGAACAAGAGACTACAATTTGGTCCTTTGGGAGGTGTTTTTTTTGTTGTTGTTGTTTGTTTGTTTATTTGGTTGGTTTTTAATTTTTTTTTTAATTGAGCATGAATAGTTAGGTTGCCAGAGCAGCTTAAAAGTTCATTGGTTCTCAGAGGTTAGGGATCTGAAGACCCTCAGTAGGGATATAACCATTATTGAGCATATTTTAATCATAATCCCTCTGTTGAGCTTTCATGACTTGCCAAGTCTATTAAATAGATAGTTGTGAAATTCTAATTTTTGCAATAACGCTGATAGGCATGCATGCCCCAACTTCATAGATGGGAAATTGAGGCTGGTGAGATTAAATAATTTTCAAGGTCACACAGTTACAGATGGTAGGACAGGCATTCAAACACAGGTCTTAAACTCAAAGCTGGTACCCTTTRCACTATGCCTTATTGCTGCTTAGACTACTTAATGATAACCCAGAGGATTGTGTCACAAATGTGCACAGAATGTTTCTTTGACTGCTTTGACAGAATTTTACTAGTGAGATGGATATAGCATTTTTTGTTGGACTGGAAGTACAATCACAGGTATTTAATTTGTGGGCCTTGCATTCATGGAATATACTTGGGAAATGACATCTAGTTTTGAGGTTGAARGTCAGATGTTAAGCTGCTAGAAAACTCCTGAGAAAATAAGTTTTTTTTTTTTTTTTCCTTTCTTTTGCTGTGGAGACTTGATGCCAAACAGCATTGAAAGAGAAGAAGTAGGTTGATTTCTCAGTTAACACGATTAAATAACACAGTCCAAATATAAAGATTGTCAAAGCACAATCTGTAGAAATGATTTGTTCTGATGGTAGAAATTGCTTTAAGATGGAGGTTAATAGGTTTTGTAAATTTTTCCTAAATAAAGGTTTTAGAATAAACCCAAGTCTTTTGAATATGGTAGTTGAAGGGATTAAAGAGTATGCTTTATTGGGCATTGAGGATTAGAAGTGGAAATATGAACAGCATTTTATGTTCTGAAGATGTTTACCTTTTGAGTTTCATCTTTTGCTATTAGTTATCACAAATTTTTTATTCCTGCCATAAACCTTATTTCCTCAAATGCACATTTTTTCTTTTTTTCCCATTGTCACTTTTTCCTGATCTTCTGTTGCCTGGTAGATTCTCACCCCCTCTCTACTGTGCCAGTGGTTTGTCATCCTCCCTGGGAATCCCACATGGCTAGAGTAGGGCCTGCCCCTCCTGACCTCATTGTCTCTCTCCTAGCATTTGTCACACTGCCCCCTGGTGTCTGCTCTCTGTTTTCCACTAGGCTGTGAATTCCTTGAGGGCAGAAACYATGTCTTTTATCTCCATAACCCACTTCCTGGTCCTTAGCACACTCTCTGCAAATGCTGATTAGATGACTTAATAATCTAGGGTTTATTTGACTTGTTTAATGATGCGTTTTCATTTCTAATTAACCTAACTTTTTGCTTTTAGAGAGAACTTTTAAATATCATTTTATCATAATGAAGGGAAATCTGCTACCTCAGTTATTTGGGTTTTGCTTTACTTTGGTTTTGTGGCCTTCTCTTACAAAGTCTTAAGTTTCAATATAACTCATTATAATGATAGTGATAATTGAAATATTTGTTAGTAAAAAGTATTTTGGAAGGTGATGGAATATATAGCCAATGATTCGGCATTTTAGGAAAAATTTATCATAGAACTAAACCAAGACTATAGTCACCTTTTAATAAGTTGTGTGTCCATGTAAACTTACTTAAAAACTTTGGGGCTAAATAAAACTATTTGTGGTTGCTTTGTTTTTGTTTTATTTTACCTGGAATAATAAGATGTAGTTAAATAGGTTCCATTGTATATCATTACCTATCCTATTACATTAGGGTTAATAGGCAGAAAATGGTTAAAACCATATAGAAAGAGACAGGAAATCTAAATGAATAATGATGGCCTATTCAACTTTGGGAAATTGCAGCAAAGTTTATTAAAGGTGGTTTCTTCTAAGATGCAACCAAATCTCCTATACTGATGTCAAAAGAGAGCCTTTCTCTTAAAGTCAAAGATAGAATTAGTTTTAGTTTGAATGTATGCTGCAACTAAATTAGCAATCTAATTTACTGGGGACCCATTGCCTTGTTTCTCTTTCCCCCCATTTTTTGTCTCTGAGAATGAAAAAGAGGATGTTTGGGGAATCTTTTTTCATTCCCTAAATTCTTAGAAATCCCAAATTCAAAAGATGGTGAGATTACGAATTTTCCAAACTGATGAAAAAAAATTGTACTCACCTGTAGGCCTCATGTGAGCCAAATGGAGAGTAATGCAAATGAAGGTGATCAAGTTGGTACTGAACTAAATAAATGTTCAAATGTTGACATGGACCCGTTTTTCTGACCACCACTGAGACTCCTCACTGGCCGCATTAATGACACATAGATTTGGGGGCTGATGGTTTTAAGGGAGATTCAAGAAACTGACTGTAAGAAAAGCTTCTAATTACATTGAGACAGTCTTCCAGATTGTAAATTGGCTCTGTAGTAGAAATGTATGATAAGTGTAAAAACCGACATCATAGACTGTCCCTTTCGACTATTACCATAAGCAAAGGGCTTGTTTGTTTGTTTTTAAACAGTTGCTTCTGCAGAGGTTTCAAGATTGCAATGATGCTTGAAATAAATATAGATGAAATATTCACAGTTATTTTTATTAAAAGCACATTTATTACCGTCCTCCGCAGTTCATTTCTGCACTCACTTAATTTCTTGTAGCTGTATTTTCCAATTTCACATTCAAAATGATGGAATTTAGCATAGAAGCTAGTAAATAAATACATCTTCTCATTCCCCTCCAGTCCATACTACTCCCACCATGTTTGAATGAAACATTTAATTCAGTTGATTGGTACAGAGAACAATTTCAATGTCTGTATTTAGAATAAAGTGACCGAAAAGAAAATGTTATGATCAGTAGAAGGTTATGACTCACTGATTTTACATATGGGTAATATTTTTGAAATATTGCTCATCTTTTGGGAAGTATGTGGTGATAAGAGTTCTCCCGAATACTAGCCACATAACTGA